TTTTTTTTTTAATTAATTTTTTTTAAAAATTAAAAAAGCTTAAAAAAAGCTTCTTTCGTTATGTCTTTTAAGGATATGCAAGCCTTCAGCAGGCTAACTGTTCACAACCTGACTTCTCCGTCACCCCGAGTCCCTCTCTTCATCCATTTTCTCTCTTTTCCTTTATATTCCATATATATTTTTTAGCTCAGAGTAACTCTGCATTTAAGATCACCTGCAGTGCTGCTGAGATCTGTGTGCATATATACGTGCATTTTACCGTACCGCCACTAAAACTCTGTTAGAGAAGGAGACGGCAGGAGAAGTGAATATGTCACTCAAGGTTAATTTTCTATGTGAAAGTGCATCTCTTCGCAACCTTTTGTCACCCGGCAATAACGCTCACTGGTGCGATGGATTTTTTTTCTCTCCCCCTTTTTTTTCCCTCCCACTAACCTGTCTTCCTTTCCTTCTTTGCTTCCTTGGATACAGAGAGAGGTAAACGCATTCCTTCCTTTTCAGTCTGCAATGCTCCTCCTGTAGAGTACCTCTACATCATTTTATTGTTTAATTTCCTCTCTCCGTCTCATTTTGTTTCATCTTGAAAGTGGCTCTTGATGTACTCTGTACCACTGCGTGCATGCATTCAGACATGGAGGAAATGAAGGTCACATCCCCTGTCCTTGTCTGTCTACAAGTATTTTTTTTTTTAAACTTTGTTTCTCACACACACACACACACACACACGTAAATAGGAATGTCTCGTGGAGAACGTCCCTGAGAATCTGCGTCCAGGAATCCTGTTAGCCCTCAGGCCTTGTTTGACTATTACATCTCATATTGAAACACAGCCTGAAGGGAGTTATTTACATTGGCTTATGTCTTTGTGTGTGTATGTGTGTGTGTGTGTGATGCTCTTTAATTTGCTGCAGCTACATTTCTTTTTAAAGTATCCTGTGTCTTCATCCCTCTCTCCATCCCATCTCTTTCCCTCCTCCTTTTTATTCTTCGTTCCTTCTGTTCAGCTGAGTTAAATTGTTTTCGGCTCCAGTGGGCCCAGGGGAAAGTTCTTTCCTGCTGTTACTCTATTCAACTCCCTCTTGCATCACGCTGCTCTATTGATCTTTGGGGTCCATTGTCGTCTCTGCGTGTGTGCGCATGTGTCCGTCCTATATTCATCCCACTACAAAAGGTCACTTCATCTCTCATTTGTCTCAAAGACCTGTCAGTCTCAAAAGTAGACACACACATTTTTGTTTTAAAATTTCTCCAAGTAGCACCAAACTCGTCCAGCAAACCTCATCTCCATTTGTGACTGTGTGTTTGTTTTTTTTGTAAAGCAACTCTGTGTTTTCCTCTTCTCAGGGACTTTGCATATGTGGCGAGGGATAAAAACACCAGGATCCTGAAATGTCATGTGTTCCGCTGTGACACACCAGCCAAAGCCATCGCCACCAGCCTGCACGAGATCTGCTCCCGGGTGAGTTGTTCAGGCCGGAGGAGGTTCCAGACACAGGGGGCTAACTTTGGCAGACGGATGTGATGAAGCTAGCCAAGTAGTTGGACAAATGTTTTCCCTCCCACTCAACATAAAGGCTCACGGAGAAGAAAATGTAGTGTTGATGGATTTTAATTTTTTTATTATGTTTTTAAAAGCACAAAATTATTCAGCACGCAAGCTCATCTTAAAACCCATAAAGCAAAAAAATTAATCTGTAGTCATGGTGCTGGAGAAATGCTGCAGTGCTTTATCTTATTTAACATCCATCACACAGTCAAAGCACACTCCCAAACACAGTTACCAGCGAGCTTTCTCTGCTGTGTTTGATGAATACAGGTGAATTCAAACAGGGCTGAAAGGACAGTATTCAGACTGCGTGTTTGTTGTCTGCTTTGAACGTTTAGTTAATGGACTGTCCTCATTAAAAGGCGAACTTTATATTCAGCGTCTGAAAAGACCTTCGAATGATTTCTTCATTTATATGCAGTCGAGATGAAAATATTTTATTTTTCAGAAGGTTTAACTAATGCTCGCCTCTGAAGTGTTTTTAGCTGAAAATGTAGAGGAGCCATTCCTCCCCCTCCATATTCATCACACCCGATCTAACAACATCTAACAACAACATTTTATTTTCCCCCTAGTCGGTCTGTTTTATAGAAAACTGATAAGAAAAGAAGAATTGGTTGCTAATAAAGATTTATTTTGATTGAAGTCTTTAATCCAGGGTTCGTACGGGTGCTTGAAATCCTTGAATACGCTTGAATTGTAATATTGTCCTTTCAAGGTTTGAAAAGTGCTTGAATGTCAGATGTGGTGCTTGAAACTGTAGTAACTCTAAGTTACTGTGACTCAAACATAGAAAAATTGGATCTTTCATTTTCCTCACCTAATTTATTTAAAAGTATTTTATAGCATATAACACCTTTTTAAAAAAATAGTTCAGTTCACATTTAATTCCAGAAAATCATAAATCAAAAGATGGATCTTACCTTACCTTTCATGGTGAGGTAACTGCTCTTTTAACTGTTTGGTGTCTTTGCTTTGTTTGGTGGTTGCAGAAATGGTTTACATGAGCTTTTAGCTGAGATTGAGAGGTTCCTGTGGACACTACTGATGTCAGCACTTATATT